CAGAATGCCCTGGTATTACTCAGTTGGTTTCATCTCTGAACTTGCGCTGACCACTTGCCTACTAGCGCCTGTCCTCCTTTTACACACCCTCCTCGACCTTTATTTCCTCCCAATCCGCCTACCTTAGACTCCCTTGCCGAGAAGAGGTCTATGAAGCCCAACAGTATACCACCGTACCTTATTTCCAAAACTTCTTGAATCAGACACCGGTGTCGCCAGAGGATGAGCTCTCTGGTATAAGTGCCATGGCGCTTTTGATAGATGTTATGGCCATCTGGGGAGATGTCTCGGATCATGTATTCCGATTATCATTGATACCCGCGGATGCATATCGCAAGCTCTTCGAAGATTCCATTCCTCCATCGTCCGACGGTCAGATGAGTTGATCTCGAGACTTCCTGATCATCTCACTTTCACGGCAGTAAATATGGAGCGAAGCATTCGGACAAAGAAGGCAGACACATTTGTGGAGATTCACTTGCTATACCATGCCACGTTGATGAAGCTCAATCGACATGCTCGTCATCGTAGCCTGCCCGAGGCAACAATCGATTGGCACGTACATACAACTCGAAATCATGCGGCCGAGATTCTTCGGATATCTCTTACTCTCATGCGCTACGCAGCCGAGTATGAACCGTCACGCCTTGTCATGGAGCCGACCATGGCCAAGGGCACAATTCTTAGTCCTTACCTGGGCTACGCGATAGTCTCTGCCGTCGACGTCCTCAGTGCGGGTGGACTGATTGTTGATATACCTGAGACCATTACTCTCATTCGGGGTGGCCTTGAAGCATTGAAGGAGCTGAGCCGTTTCTGGGCCGGATCTGTGCCCTTAGTGTCATTGGTCGAAACACGACTTGAGGCCATGCTGGAGCATCGCCATCACCCGATGATGTCGGAAGGCAAGGTTGCTTTCATGGTGACCGGACCGTCTCTGGATAGTCAGATCCGCAACGGTACCCAAAAACAAGAACCACCATCCAACGAAGATCTCATGTACGGTGGTCTACCCCGCGAACGATTCTTTGCCGCCGTGGGCGCCGGAAATGTTCCATTTTTGGAAGAAAATATTCTCTGGATCCGAGACACCAGTTGAATAAGAAGCATTGCATTGCAGCGTTCCGTTCTCATTTGGTGTTGGTGGTCTGCTACCATTTCTACCCCTTGTCCTTTCCCTCGCTTGTTCTCTGAATCCTTGCATGGCGCGGTTTATCAAAATGGGCTATAATTAATTTATTACCGTATACCCTGGAGGCTGGTCTTTCTTCTTCTGTCTACCCTTGAGCCCTTGCGCTGTTTGAATTTCCTGCTCGATTTAATTGAAGGGCTGAGTATGCCTTGTTGAATTAGATGGGGATCCGTTGTGTGGTCCTCTATGACATGACTGATACGCTGGATGCATTGACATGGACGTGTATATTAGCGAGGCATGGTTGATCTGAGCATGTTTTGAATTGAATTTTGTCGAAAATATTGACCCATGAATCGAATTTCATCATGTTATGAAATATCTATATAAGTGTCGCATCTATATGAAGACAAAGGACCCAAAACAAAACGGAAGAACACAAACGTTGTACCTTAAAACTTCGCACCATACCGAATCCGTCAAGGTACACGGGACCAACGGGGCTCCACAGCCGAACCCCCGACACTTTTTTTCCCGCGACGTCATCCCAAATAACAGCTAAGCCTATCCCCGCAAAAAAGAAAGAAAAAAATAGCCAAAAAAAATCCCCGGCGCATCACCCACCTACTAAGAGCAATTCGTAAAATCAGTCATCGCAAGAAGATGCCTCGTCGCCACTTCCACAATTAATTCTCGAACTGATCGCGCCCCCGGAGAACCAACAACAAGGGACACGATGGAAGCGTCCTACTCATCCGAGTCCTCGGATTGGGTCCATGCTGAAGCAACAACATCCCAGCAATGGAACCCCGGCTCCGAATACCCAGATAGTAATACCACGGATCGCAATCAAGCAAATGACCCGGACCCAGACTACTCTGCTCTATTATCCTACCCCGAAGAAACAGATTACTATGCCCTCCTGGGATTATCCCGGACACCGCCGCCCAGCGACGCAGAGATCCGCTCCGCGTACAGGAATCTGACGCTGAGTTTCCACCCGGACAAACAGCCCGGCGAGTGGCAGGAGATCGCGAGACGGCATTTCGAGCGCATCCGCGAGGCGTACGACACGCTGATTGATCATCGCAAGAGGACCGTGTATGACCTCCTGGGCGCCGAGGGCGTCCGGGCGGAATGGGGCCCCGGCGGGAGTATGGGGATGGGCGGGGAGGCGGAGCGGGAACGCAGACTGGGTGTTAAGGCTAAGTCGCCCGAGGAGTTCCGGAGGTGGTTTTTGGACGCGATGAAGCGCAGGGAGAGGAAGGCCATTAATTCCATGGTGCAGAGTCGGGTATGTTATCTTTCTTCTCTCCTGTCGGTGGTTTGTTTGGCGGAAGGCGTGTCTTTTGGGTGTGGTTGCTGACCTGGTGGGTTCTCTTTCTTTTTTTTCTCGTCTCGTAGGGTTCCATTGTCTTGGGTATCGATGCTTCCGATATGATTTCTGTGGATGAGGATGAGGGCGAAGTCTATTTTAGTGTGCCTTCGGCTACGCCGTCGAAGTTTAATGTGGGGTATTCCTTTAAGGCGCCTTTGCCCACGCCGAGGAAGCTGTTGGGGAAGTTGGAGAGGGATGAGCCTGTGGAGGAGGGTGCTGAGCAACAGGGGTCGGAGGATGAGGCCGGTGATGAGCCGGAAATGGTCATTAATGCTGGAATTTCGGGTGAGATGCGCCACCTGACTCAGAAACTTTCAATCGAGCATCTGGATGGAACTAAGGAAATACGTAAGGTAAGAGAGATGTTGTTGTTGATGTGGATAGATGGGATTGTGGCTGATGGTGGTTGCGCAGGTTCCGTTGCCGCCCATTATAGCCTCGCAGGAGATCACGCTTGGAGCCACTGTTAATCATGTGTTTGGTGATGTTGCAAGCCAGAAGGGGATCCTTAGCAAGCGGCCGTTCTCGTTCCTCAGATATTCTGCCGTCTCTGTTGGTGCCATGGTCTTGCCTGTTCCGTCAGTGCAGGCGAACATGGTGAAGGCTTTTACGCCTGTTGCCGGGACGAATCCTTTTAACGTCAACTTCAGCAGCACGTTCTACAAGTCGCCTGTGAAATGCCCGCCAGCAATGGCCGTTCAGGTCATGAAAGAGGTGGGTGAAAGGAAGCACGCTTTCTGTAGATGGCAAAGCGGTACTATCAGCTGGCCAGGCGCCGTAGAGCGCTTGCTTAGCCCCTTTCTTGACATAGGTCTGGATGTCGACTCTGCGTTCACCATTCCCAAACAGACTAGCCAGTTCCAGGTTGGTTTGCTAGCTCTCCCAAAATCTCAAAAGCAGGCTGCTTTTATGGATGACTATGATGAAGAACCGGAGGACGGGGAAGAGGAGAGCGAGTACCAGCAGCTTCGGTCCAAGCAGCGCGCAGAAGACAAGGTGGGTGAAGCGTGGCAAATAGGCTTTTCTGTTTCTCCTGAAGCAAGTGGCTTACAGCTGAGCTATGGACGTAATCTCTTTTCTGGAACGGCCGCCAATGACCCCTTGCGCTCTGAATGGAGTTCTGAAGGTCATTATGCTTTGCCACCGGCAAATGAACCACGCTCCGTGCGGGTTGAAGTGACCAGTACTGTCAACATGGATTTGTCGCTATCATGGAAAGTTGAAGGGTCGCGGCAGGTTGGTGAACTGACTCGCATGGGACTCGGTATTGGAGTTGAAGGCCCCCATGGTCTTGTCATGACGGTCTTGTGGAGTAGACTTGGCCAAAGAATCAAACTTCCTATCGCTGTCTGTCCCATTGACGTGGTTAATGCGGACGCTGCCGCGCTTGCTGTCATATTCCCATGGCTGGCATACTGTGCGTGGGAATTTGGGTTCATCCGGCCAAGAGAAAGGAAGAACCGACGACGCGTGATAGCTCGACGACAGAAGGAGCTGAAGAAATTGGTGCCAATAAAGAGAGCAGAAAGCCTGCAAGCGACTGAGATCATGACTGAGCAGGTACGGCGGAGACAAGCGAAGGAGGAGAGACAGGACGGTCTAGTCATTACCAAGGCTGAGTATGGCCATTTTCCTTCAAAGAAAAAGGGCAACGACACTGGCAAGGAATATGAGGTGGTAGATGTCACCATCCCCGTGGCCGGTTTGGTGGACCGTAGCCAGCTGGTGATTCCCAAGAACATGGTCAAGGTGAGTTGATTATCAGCCTGCAGTCTCATGGGGATGCAATTAGCTAATAATGCACAGTTCCATATCCTTGGCTTTTATGACCCGGCCCCTCTTCTGCCGAAGACCCTGAGGATTTGGTATACATACCACGGGGCGCAGCATTATGTAGAAGCCACGGACTCTGAGGCCATTGCTTGCCCTATGCGCACTCATTTGATGACAGATGAAAACTGACCAGCATCTGGTGAAAGCATGACATCTGTATTAATATGTTAATGACTGTGGTGCTGTTGGCAGTGTTGTTGTTTTGGACATCGCCACTCTTGGACCGCACAACTTTGCATTTTGCTTCTTGCATGTTTGGTGTACTGATGGATAGACTTATTATTCTGTGTTCTTGGAGTCTGAACTGTCATAAACCACTACTAGTATACATACTAATTGGAATACTTAAACAGTGGAATGTAGTTTGTCTTCAGGAGATGAAGGTGCGGTGAGTTGTTGGGATTTCCAGTGAAGTAGGGGAGGCATCCGATAGGTAACGGACTTTGGTGTCTGCCTGTCATGTCAACAATCCCACTGAAGTCCCGCCATTTGTTTGCCGGTGTTACTATCTCAGATTCCCTTAACACCCCTCATATATTCCCTTAACGTGTTTATCCATCTTTGCGATCTTTTCACTTTACACCTTCATTCTGTCACATCCTTTCACACCCTTAACCGCGTAACCACACCTCCTTCCCCAACTAACCCTACATAAACATGACTGCAAGCCGTGATGACAGTGCCAAAGATGGCAGCCCTTTTGCTGCGATCAATACGCCAGTTACTTTTGCCAATGCCAAATACCGATCGACTGGCCCGGCGCTGCAGCTAGAAGAGCATACTGCAACTGCGGCTGCGACTCCCACTACTTCTACTTCTTCTGCTTTCACTGCTTCTACTAGACCTGCTGCCACTTTTTCGGCTGCAACCAGCGCAACTCATGCTCATGCTAGCTATGGGTGCTGCCCTGGACCTCAGTTTCACGCGAGCTGCCACGGCACTGGACCATACGTTGGCGTTATCCCAACTCCCGCCTGCCAAAACGTAAGCTAAAATAGGCATGACGCCATATCCTAACTAACAAACTATACCTGTAGGCTCCAGGATTCCCTGGCCGTTGTGTCTGCTACTCTGGAGATATGTCTGACCCTGTTACACCTGAGCCTTATCAGCTCGAGGTTTTTGAACTAAAGAAGTCGATGGGTGTTTCTGCTGGTATCATCGACCCTATTTCCCAGTTTCCATTTGGTATCTAAATAAAAGTGGAGAATAAGTACAACGTACTAACATATCGCTCACAGCGCCTGGCTCCGCAAAGCTGATGTACCAGGTCCCATATCTTGTTGAGGAAGACTGCAAGTTCTGGTTCCACGCGCCCAATGGTGATTATATGCACCTCACTATCAAGCAAATTGCTGAGAAGCAGTGTGCCGGCCACTGGGCGAACACTTGTACTGGCCAGCCTTACTACCAGTGTACACCTAAGGACAGGATCCGATATCACGCTCAGGATTTCAATGCAGTCTTTCAGAGAAGTGGGCTCAGCCACATCGAGTTCCACAAGCGCTACCAGCCTTTTTGACCTTTGGTATGTTTTTCCCCTTCTTCTCCGTCCTTCCTTTCTTTGTCTTGTTTGTGTTCCGTGCTTGGGTTACTCGTGCGTTTGGGATGCTGATATCGCACAGCGGACCCAAGACCTTCCTTTGCTGATTTGCCGGACTGGTCTATTGCTGGACATAGGTGATGTCTTGATGCTCGCTGGATAGATTGAAGGCCTCGCAATTTAACCGTGGAGAGGAGATATTGAACGGGAAATAACGATGGAGGTTCTGGGATGGCGAAAGCTTACTTGTACCTGGTGTACTTTACTCAATGGACCTCCCTCCTTTAAATCTTTAGCCCTCCTAAGTGTAACTACGGTCTTTCATGGCTATATCCGTGTAACTACTGTAGGTATAGTAAGCTAAAATACTTGATGCTAGCTCTATTCAATGAGCCTTAGACATAATCAGAATCCTTATGTAGACAATATTGGGTTAGATGATGATAGAGCTTCACGAGAAATAGGAGGAACAAAGAGAATATTCCAATCTAAGTGTATGTGTCCTGCAGATAAAAAGTTAGTTTTTATACCTATTACACCAGTACTACAGCAGTGGTTGGTTTGTTGATATCCAGTAGAAACTATGAAAACGGATGTCTTCCCGATCGGGAAACAATGACGACGAGACAACTAGGAAGACACTACGGCGCGCCACAGAATCCACTCCTGCAATCCCGCCGCCAAAAAGAGAAAAAGCATCCAAACCACCACTAGAACTTTCAACTTATCAATCACTTCCCTCCCCCCATTCCCTTATCAACCGTTTCACCCCCTTGACAATGACTTCCATTGCAGAGGGGCTTTTTAAATCCCTTCCAAAGCCGAAATACACCGGCGAGGATGAGGAGATCCCGCATCACGCGCAGCCCCGTGGTCCGCGGGTCGTAGGTGCGGACCAGATCGATGAGACTCAGATTGTGTTAAGGGTGGGTTGATATCCGTTTTTCTAAACGTGGGACTGATGTGTCATTGAAATGCTAATGAACTACACTTTAGAAAACCGGCCCTCCCCCGTATGGAAACCGCACCGGTTGGCGTCCTCGAGCCCCCGAAGACTTTGGCGACGGTGGCGCGTTCCCCGAGATTTTGGTCGCACAGTATCCGCTCGACATGGGCCGCAAAGGCTCATCATCGACATCTAATGCACTTGCTGTGCAGGTTGATGCAGAGGGAAAGGTTAAATACGATGCGATCGCGCGACGAGGCCACAGCGATAACCGGATTGTGCACGCCTCCTTCAAGGACTTGATCCCGCTCCGACAGCGGGTGGATATGGGTGAAATCTCACTTGATCGGCCGTCGGAAGAGGAAGTCGAGGCGCAGATGGAGAAGACGAAGAATGCGCTGGCGAACCTGGTGTCGGGAGCCGTGGCAGCACAGAAGCCCAAGAACGTCAGGGGTGGAAGTCGGGCGGAGCCGACCTTTGTCCGTTATACGCCTGCGAACCAGATGGGTGATAATTCTCGGAAGAATGACCGGATCATGAAGATTGTGGAAAGACAGCAGGATCCCATGGAACCGCCGAAGTTCAAGCATAAGAAAATCCCTCGCGGACCGCCGTCGCCGCCTCCGCCGATCATGCATTCGCCGCCACGGAAGCTTACGGCGGAAGATCAGGAGGCCTGGAAGATCCCACCGCCAGTGTCGAATTGGAAGAATCCTAAGGGTTATACGGTTCCGCTCGATAAGCGTTTAGCCGCCGATGGACGTGGTCTGCAGGATGTTACTATTAACGATAAGTTTGCTCAGTTTGCTGAGGCTTTGTTCACTGCCGATAGACATGCTCGTGAGGAGGTTAGATTGCGCGCTCAGATGCAGCAGAAGCTGGCGGAAAAGGAAAAGGCGCAGAAGGAGGACCACTTGCGGGCACTTGCCCAGAAGGCCCGCGAAGAGAGAGCTACCAGCAGCCGTCACGAGTCCCGTGCCGTGTCTCGTTCTCGCTCTCGTTCTCGCAGTGTCAGCCGGAGTCCGTCTCCGTACTCTAATCGGTCTGGTACTCCTGATGATGACGAACGAGCTGCCCGGGAGCGTGAGCGCATGCGTCGCGAGCGCCGCCAGGAAAATGAGAGACAGCTTCGTCAGTCGAGGATGGGTACAGAGAGACGGATTCAAGCAATGGCCCGTGAACAGAACCGTGATATCTCGGAGAAGGTCGCTCTGGGATTGGCGAAACCGACTCAGTCTTCCGAGACTATGTGGGACTCTCGTCTATTTAACCAGACGAGTGGAATGGACTCCGGATTCAACGAGGACAACCCTTATGACAAGCCGTTGTTTGCTGCGCAGGACGCCATCAACAGTATATACCGTCCCCGGGCCCAAGTCGATGCCGACGACGACGAGGGCGGTGCCGAGGGAGAAATGAGTAGGATTCAGAAGTCGAGCCGATTCGAAGTTTTGGGTAAGGCTAAGGAAGGTTTCCGTGGAGCTGCTGATGCCGAGGTGAGTGACTCAACTGGTCCCTTTCGTCCACTTTATGGTAGGATCCCTGCTAACGAACGAAACAGGCTCGTGATGGCCCTGTTCAATTCGAGAAAGACACCACCGATCCCTTCGGCATCGACAGTATGATTGCCGACGTCACTGGCGGAGCTGGACAGAAGCGCTACGGCATTCAGGAAGTTGATCGTGAAGACCGTGGCTCCAAGCGCGCTAGGGTTGACGAGGAGTAATCGTTAGATGCAATTGGGTTGGCTCGGTAGGGTTCGATTTATACCATTGTCGTTTGTTGGGATGATTCATGCATTGCCGGCGTTGTCATCATTTCTTCTATCTATGTGTTTGGTTTCTTCCTCTAGCTCAGAGGACAAATTCAAAATTCATTGGGCTGCTTTGTTGATATATATAACTGTATTGTTGTCAGACAGACAAGACTCGGTAATGGCTTTGAATCAATGATATATACATGTATCACTGTTTATCTACAGAACAAATATTGGTTTTCTATTTTAACTGATATTTAGGCTGCCGCTCACCTGATTTCACTACGCCTAATACATTATTGAGTAGATAGATATGTAGAGGCATGATTCATATTCAACTAGTTACAGTATCCAGCTCCTCTCCTCCTTTCCCTCCAGGGTATATACACTTCTCGAGCATCAATAGACTCAGATATCAGGACCTTTTCCCTCTGTAGTTCTCACTACTCGCACACAAAGGCATCGAAACAGAAACAAAAGCAACCGCACACCAGACCCAAACGGCAACGCATCCAATCCACAACCATAAACAACCCACTCACAACAAAACAAAACAACACATCACTACCTAGACCCTTTTCCTGCCAACCCCAAACCCAACCCCCATCTCCTCCCCAACCCTCTTCCTCCGACCCGCCTCCCCAAGCAACTTACTCTGCAAATCAAACTCCGTCTGCCACCCATCAGACCCCGTAACCGGCGGCGCAACACCAACCGGCAGCTCCCCCTCGCACCGCTCCCGGAACGCCCGCAGCTGCTTCTCACTCCAGCCCTGAGCGCGGAACCACCCCGATAGAGACTCTTGCATGTGTTGGTGCTTCGTAGCCAGGTCGTGCAGTGTGTGTCCGTCCAGCCTTGGGAGCGCAGACAGTTGTAGATGGCTTGTTGGGAGGGGGTTAGCCGGGTTAGGTCGATGGGGGAGGTTGGGGGGATGAAGTGGGCTGGTAGTTGTTGGGGGCGGTTTGAGCTGGTGGTCATTGTATGTGGTTTTGGGTGAGTTGGTATGTTGGGGGTGGGCTGTGAGTTCATATGTTGTTTATATTGAGGTCATATATAGTGTCACTTGGCAAGGATGGGGTTTGTGTGTTTCATATATTGAATATGGATGTGGAAATGGGAACAATGAGACTAAAGTAAGTGATTCGCTCTGGTTATTAGGCTATTTATAATGACTGAGCTACTAGTACATTGTGGTGCTCTGGATCCTTCCAGTATGGTGGAATCCCTGGCTGTATACTAATACTACCTAGTAGGTTGATGTGACGCCTGATAGGTAGGTAAGGCCGTGACACTCTGGTCATGATTTAGTGGTAATTCAAACATGTTTCAGAGCACAGGGTAATGCGATTATTCTTCTCATTGGATGGTAATAAATAACAAGTAATTCAGTACGTCCGAGTCATGTGATGATTGTATTCTCGAATAGTAGGACCCTCAGTGATGCCATGAATGGTTGGTAGCAGCCGTTGGTTCTCTAACTCTAAGTATCCACATGGTATGGCTACTGAGAAGGTGGCCCTTCCGGGGAGATTCTCGATACTTGGTAAGGGATCCTTCATGTATACCAGTGGACCTTGAGACAGTATACGCATGGACGGAGAATGGGTCATTAAGTGCATGTCTTATAGACTCCAGAAATACTAATATCCGGGAGAATAAATACCGCGGAGAGGAAGATGAAAAGCATGTGAAACTGTTGGAAGCGACAAGGGATGTAAATCGCTCATTATGGAGCCCCCATCGGCCTGAGAATTGGTGATAGCATCTGCCTAACGGGAAGGGAGAGCCAGATTTGGTCAGGTTGGGTACATGTTGACACGCTAGACACCCATATTAATAAGAGAGCAGCATCGTCGTCAAATGCTGTCAAAAGACGTAGTGGACCCTGTATACGTCGGACACTGACTATGCAGGCGTATCCAGTAGATTGCTGAGATGGCGACATGATCTGATGATTGAGATTCCTAACAGCCAATGAACGCGAGAGTCATTATTTTGGCTGTCTCCTATTAGTGCCTGTAGATAATCGTCAGAGGGAGACAACGGTATGCATGAGGCAAGATATGGGAAAGCTCTTGACAAGCGACCATGCTATTGAGTTTTGCGAAAGAGAGAGGCTGCGTTTTGAGAAGGTCATGGGGCATGGATTTCATAGTTAGTTGCTGCTGTAGCGCTGCAAGCGCAGTCAGATGAATGTCTTGGATGTTTTAACCGGCATTGCCGAGGAACGTAAAACAACACTCGCAAATTGTGGTGATTGCCGTTGCGAATGACGAGCTAGTAGACCTCCAACGGGATTCAGAGACATCATTTGGTATGACGTCGTTGGAGTGATATTGCTTGCTAGACGAAACAATACCTGCACCAGGGCTGTACCGCTGGTGTTAGGTTTCGAAGGGGAAGTGGTTGATACCACGATGAGGGCAGGTTCAGTGAACGCGGAAGGTTTTTCTTATCGTAGAGGGTTTCCCGCTGGCATTCCGTGGATGGACAGGACTCCACCCAACTCATTGCGGTGTCATTGGGACCCTCAAAATCCACCCGCTTTATCTCCCGTCGAAAACGGGCCCCCCTTGCTTGCGAAGAGGTGGAGATCCATATCTTACGATACGAATGGTGCTGCCACACTCTACCCAACTGCAGATTGTGTGACTGATCAGTTTTTGCGGTGCCTGACTAGCCCGAGTAAGTTACCCCATGATCCTGGTTGCTTGAAAGTGCGGGGAGCCCATGAGCGTCCATCATGAATCAGTCGTTTCATATCCTGATCTGCCCACACAAGGCCATTGGATTGGCATAGGAACCGTGCGCCGGGAGGATTCGACCAGCAAAAGCACAGGCATTTATCGGTAGTGGCGCCTACCGCGGAGTGGCGATCGCAACGGAATTGCTCATTTGCTACTAATGCTGATAAGCAGTGGTGTTGGTGGAGACTTGACACTGGAGATAAAGCAGGAAGAACCACTCGGCCAACGGCTATGTCTATTGCGAAAGATCATTAGGTAAAAAAGAGGATAAGGCATTAACGAATTTTCTTCAAGCAGTTGCTCAGGCCTCAGGGGGCCAAAAGGCCAGAAAAAAATCTGAAGGGAGAGACAACCGGTCATATATACCCTCCTATTTTATTTTAATTTTTCTTTTCTCTTGCCTTGGTTAAGCTTCCAACGATTGTGGATATCTGTGTGGGGACTCTTTTTTGCGACAAACCTTCGGTGACTCAAGTTTCAGCAAGTCAGCAAGAGCAGCCAACAAAAGAATTATTAAGTCATTGCATTGCATTGGAAAGTGAAGGAGAGGGAAAAGAAGTGGGAGTGTAAGTAAGCGAGGAAAAGAAACGCAAGTACAGAACAGGCATAGAGTCCAAGTCACCTGAGAAGCTCTTGTTCTCTTCCACCGTCTTGACTCATTCCGGTTCTGGTGTGCTTCGAGCCATCTCTGATGCCATGCTCCTCGTCTTTCCCTGATTGCCCATCTCTTATAACATCGTCGTTCGACTACTCCTTACTTGCGTGCTGGTCTTATTGATATCATTCCCTCGGAAAATGGCGTAACGGAAGGCGGAATGATTGCTCAACGTCTCAAAACATTCAACGGAAACAAAACTATGCAGTATAAGACAAACAGGCGAAGTGACCCTACCCTGACTGCGGTCTATCTGAAGATACCTCGTCGTTCGGCTCTTCTAGTTGCTCCCAAACGCGAGCTGTCAATAACACCAGTACCGTCTCAATATTATTCTTAGTATATCATTTGCGCCTCTCAAACTCTCGAAAGGAATCAATCACGCGGAGTGGGCTGTCCAGTTTTCCATCGACCTTGATTTTCATTCCTATATATAGTCCTACCAGCTGGAATCCAGCCTTGCCACACCATTAACGAAGAGCCTCAATTCAGCCTGGCTTAATTGTCCTGCGCCGCACTAAATCCACCAGTGATTTATCCACGAGATCACCCTCGTGAAGCGCCGGCGTCTGACCTGTTCTTGAGCCACACAGGCTTTACAATACACCTGAAAAGATGGAGCAGTCGCTATCGCTCATTTCTGCTCAGGTCCAGTTTATGGTGAGCCTATTATGTCCTACATGCAAAAGATCCTATAACAACATGATTCCTGAATATGGCTTCTTCGGACAACTGCTGGATTTTTCCAGTGATCCTTCGTGTTATGAGGCTTAGCTTGCTAACAACAATGATGGTAATGCAGGACGACCGACTGGCCCTCGTCCATATTCCACTGGACCTCTACCCGTATTTTCTGAATCCAATCCTTCAGGTCCTTTTTCATGAGGTACCTCCAATTAGTGGGAATCATGCAGATTTCCAGAATGGTGGCCCCGACGGTGGCCACAAACGCGCTCAACCTGCGTTCTTGAACCTCTCCATTACACCTGTGGAGTGTTCTATTATGTGTCCTAGGCAACTTGCCAATGACTATTTCGCTCCGTTGGTTGAGCGTTTTGCGAAAGATAACGTATCCAATCCGTGTCGCTTGTCCATTAGCCGTGATGATTTCATTGCCATGCAAGTGTACGGAGAAGGCCTCGAGGCGGGCCAACGAGTACTTGAACTCACCAGCATTAGCGATGGCGGGAATGTATGTCTCTTTCTCCTCTTTTCCCTAAATCGTAGGTTGTGCTAATGGGGATATGTTGTAGCTCCATATTTTTTATTTCCACTTACTTCTCAGACTATATTATTGTTCCTCTGCGTAGCAAGACGCAGGTAATTCAAACTCTGGAAAAGCGAGGGTTTCAATTCGAGATGTCGACGGACGCATTCATCAACAACAACCAGTTCAACAGTTGTCTCAGTCCCGTGTCTCCCCGGTCCACCAGCAGCCTGGGATCTCCCCCGCCCACTCCTCCGCCATCATCGCTTGATGAATTACAGACTCGCACATTCTCTTCTTTGCGAAAGAATAACATCACCCCTTCCGTTGATAGATCCCTCCGCTTAGTCCAATGTGCTGTTCACCATCGTGACGGCAGTGAGATCAGCTCTATATCTATACTGCGCGACGCGCTGACAATAGCGCTTGTCGTGGATAAGCCACGATTTCTGTCTCTTACCATGACCGCTGCCGATCCAGCAGCCTCAATTTTACTGGAACAGCGGCTTTTGCCCCGATTCTCAAGTGATCCTGCATTCCCTGCCGAGCCAGATGACGAAACCAGTCTCTTATTAGGCTCAAAAGAGGAGATCCTCGTTCCTATCATGCTAGATCTACGCAAACTTCCACTAGAGGCTACTGGTATTGTTTGTGGCGTAGCTGGTAGGTTGGCAGACGCTACGCATGATCGAGGCGATGACATCACGGACGGTTCTTCCACAATTATGTCTCATTCTTTCAATGGTTTTTCTTCTTTTGATGAGACGATGAATCGGTTTTTCTCTTCGAGTGTCGGATCCGGCGGACCCGTGAAACCTCCAACCCCTGGGTCTGGACGCAAATCAGCCAGCAACGGCAAACCGACCCACCACCTGCAGCCTGACTTGGACAGCTCGATCGAGGCTGTTGAGATCAGCTTCCTCAGCACTGCACGAGCGGGTACCATCATTGTCGGTGAGCACGAGCTTCAACGCGCCGTGGGTGCTTTGGAAGCCGAGAGTCATGAGCCCGAGGACCTTGAAGGATTCGAGATATGATTATATTCAACTTGCTGCCTTCGATTGCCCAGCTTCTACAGTCAAACGAGCATCAGCCTTCCGCAGAAGATACCGAGGTTTACCTTTGACTTTTCTTATTTTTGAGAGCACCTGTGGCAAGTTGAACTCTCTTCTCTCCATTTATGATTTACGCCCAGATCGCAAAATTTCGTTGAAGTCTATCATAATCAGCTATACCGGCGCTCAAAAGTTCTCATCTCATTGTTCTGGACTATAACATGATACGGATAACAGTACATTCCCCTTTAAACATTTCTTTCACCAAAACTTGTATTGATAGTTAGCGAGGTTGTCCGTCTCGGTATGAGATGCTGAGATTAATGTTCATGATTTTGATTGGAAGTTAAATATCTAAGTTTGGATTGTTATTGATATCCACGGCGCTTTGACTGCTTGCCATTTATCTTGTCCTTCGTATTCTTTGTTCTTAGAATGACTATTTTCGTTCGGACTGGGCTTTATCTCCAATGACAATTTCATAGTACTTCTCAGATAAACCTATATCAGCTGAAAAAACCACAGCATTCGTAATTGCAAGCGCCTGAAAGCTTGAACCAGGCCAATTTGAAATCCAGCCTCGTCGTAGTGTAAAACCCTACGATGAACCATCACGACTCCACAGTGGCAATCCATTAATTCCCGGGAAACCGAAGAAACTAATCAATAGATCGGGGTTTGTGACTGTGTCATGCGTTCGTGGTTGGGGAAAGTATATCCCAGTTTCTGAAGTCTTAGTGGTGGCGCAGCTGAGGACCTATGGTTATTAGCTACGAGCTGTGGAGATTGAGAGATCGCTCGAGTGGTTTGCTTTGTCTCAGGGAAGCGATCTGAGCCACGATATTTTCCTTTTAGGGACTGCGACGCGTTCGCCTCTCTTGGGGGCCTAACAAAAGCCTGTGAGCTGTAGTTGGTGAAAGTTGATATGTGCAACATGACTAGTGCACGTGGTATGTTTGAGTTAATTATTCATCGCTGGGCGGAGCCTTAGCCGTAGATTTTGACGCTTCCTATTGTTCAAGACGTCATGTTAGCTGGCACATTCCAAGACTCAATATGTGGGGCCAAGTAGATTGAGAGATATTTTTCAGCCCTCGCGGTGTAATGGATTGAAATGAGGAACAGAGAGTGCAATAAGAGAAAATACGCACCGTCAGAGCAACCGCCGGCCCAACATCCCCCCTTCTCATTCCACGCCACGCAACTGACAACCTTGACGCCCTCGCCAGCTGGAACACTAGCGATGAGCTCCCCGCTCACGACATCCCAAGCATATACGTATGCTTGGGCCGACCGGTCTTCCTTATCCGTTTCGCTTCCACTGAGCACCATCGCATCCCCTTTGGCAAACGCAGACCTGATTCGCAGCTCGCTGTTCCGATATCCGGTCTTCCCGGGGTTTTTATCTCCGCTTCCAAACGCCTGGAGGAGTTTGCCATCGGTGCGGTCAAGCATTCGAATGCGACTGTCTAATGTTGAAGCCAAGAGGGCATTCCCGTCCGTCGAACAGCGCACGCTGGTTACTGGGTGTGCGAGAACATCGACCGTTGTACGACCCATGCGAACATCGTAGATACGGGCACGGCCGTCGTAGCTTCCACTTGCGATGGAATACGTAGGGGTGTGAACGTGGATGGATGAGACCGTGTCGCTGGCTTCGGTGAGGGTTTGGATTGGCTTCGTTGAGTTGGATCGTGTGTCCCAGAGATTAATCGTAGTGTCGGCGCTACCTGCAGTATAGGATAACATTAGCATCGATCGATTCAATCACCACGTAGATTGAGGTGGTGGTTCCAATTGGTAAAACGTACCAGAAACGACCACCGAGTCGCCTTCGCCTGCAAACTGCACCGCTTCAACACGGGCTGCATGTCCACTCCATCGCTTTACAGTTATGCCCTGTTCAACATCCCAAAGGAAAACCTGTCGGTCTCCGCCAACGCTGGCAAAGCGGGAATTATCACCCGCGACGGCAACATCCAGCACCGAATAACCGTGCGCTTCGTACTTTTGGATCGGGGATGTCGTTTCCGTACCAGGTTTGTTGGGTATCGCGCGGGAGAGATGAACCGCGCGATCGGAGGAACCGGTCAAAACGTACGTTCCAGGATAGCTGGAGAATGTGACAGCGTTCACGGGCCCTTGGCGATGTCAGAGGGAAGAAGCTCCTGAAGGCGGGGGGAACTTACCATTATGTGTCTTGAGAGTGTGGACTAAATCTGTAGGGAATTGTTTCGTCACGGGCATTATACACAGTAATATTATGTATGATACGCTGTGGTTTAAGTTGTTGATCCGAATCGCAAAGGAGTCGCTGTTTAAGTGGATGTGGAGAAAAGAGCTCTCGTTCTTGGCAATCAATTAAAGGGCGGCGGGAGCGCAGAGGTAACTTTATTCTAGTAGCATCCCGCGGCTCCTCCGCGGAGGTCGAGTTATTTGTATACTTCCATGCGGACAACTCAGACAAATTAAATATGTATTGGCATGCCACAGAACACAAGTAGGTTATTATCAATGATGTAGAAAAACCATCGCTAGCTACCAGCAGGTAAAGAGAATAATAACAAGAAAACCCAGCGAAACTCAGGACAGGGCGTCTATGCCCTATGCAAATTGTCTCACTCGAGTACACACAAAGCCGAAAATAGGAAAGTTAAAGAAAATTTCAAGGGGTAGTCAAATGAACATGAAATAAAATTGACGAATGCAGAGTCTGCTTTTCCCACTGTTGATCGAAAGACCACAGTTTGCAGTGGTTCAAAAGTGCCTTAGCGACGTCCATGGCTGCGGGTGGATGAGCCCTGCAAGGACTCGATTTCCTGCTCCAGCGATTTGATTCTGTTCCCTTGTTAGTTTGATTGCCATAGCGAAGCTGAAGAATGGGGGAAACATACGCGGCATGCGTAGCCTCCAGATCCTTGTTGAGGCGGTCTCTTTCGGCAATGAGCTTCTGCTCCCACTGTCGGAAACGCTGTTCCTCGACCTTGACCTGCTCGGTGAACCGCTTGCGAAGCGACTCCTCCTCTTCCTTGAACTTGGGGTTGTCCAACTTCCTGGGACGGGCTTCACCGAATTTCCGGGTCTCCATCTGTTGCGCACGGTAGGCCTCGTAGTGTTGCTCCTCGGTGGTGTGGATAAGATCCAGCATGTGGGTACGGATCAGGATCGAACGAAGCTTCTTGAAGTCGCAATGGTCCTCATTCTCTACTTCGGCAACACCCCAGGCATATTGACGACCCTTTACAACCCGATTGTCGCTGGTCTTCACATCCTTCTCGGAACCGATCACGGCGAAAGGCATGGCAGCCATCAGGCTCCGCGCGTGGGTGGCAGCATGCTCATCATCTTCTTCAATCGGGGGGGTGTAGATCTTGATGCCCTGGGCTTCAATGACAGCTTTAACCTATATGAACGCAATAGGTTAAGTAAAGACCTCACAAATGGAGAACCTAAGTCAATCTTACTCTCTGCTTGTAGCGGGCCAGATCGGCGGGGCTGAGGGTATCGGCCTTAGCAATGACGGGGATAAGGTTGACGCGAGAGCTCAAGCGCTTCATGACCTCAATATCGAGGGGCTTCAGGGTGTGGCCGGTGGGTCTGATGAAATACAGACAGGCGTGCACACGCATATCGATCTTCTCTGTGCGGCGGGGCTGTTGCTCCTGCAACATGTAGGACTCATGCTGATCGTCGAGGAACTCAATGATAGGTTGCCAGGAATCGCGGTTGTTGACGTAGTCTCCGAATCCGGGGGTATCGATGACGGTCAGGCGAACTGTAAAAATATACCCAGAGCGTCAGCTGTCGGCCAGCGAACGGGAAGTGCCATGGTGTACCTTTGAAGAACTTCTCCTCCAACTCGGCCTTAGTGATCTCGATCTCAACAGTCCGGTCAATCTGCTTCTGGTGACGACGCTTGTGGTCGGCATAGTTCTTGATGGTCGTCGAGAACAAGGTATTGATAAAAGTGGTCTTTCCCAAACCAGACTCTCCAGCAACCTGCAAGACCATCAGCACTTATATGGCTTATCGTGTTGAGGCCCTATTAGACAAACCATAATAGTGAAAGCCGCACCCCGCTTAGCGACAATCTTGTGACTGTAAAGCTTCAGTTAGGACCCTCCACCCTTTCTCCACCATAGCTAATTCAGAAACGTACCGCTGATTGGGAAGCTATTGCAATAGTATTATTAGTGATAAGTCCATTTTGGAGAAGTTCCCGAGCGTATTCCAGCACTTACGTTGGCAATCCCAATGGGGGAGCAGTCTCAGTAGTGGAGGCCATTGTGATAAAGGGGTCGATCAACGAGAGATGGGAATTCAATCAAGACAAACAACAAAACGATGGTGGGAGAAACGACGCCCTGCTCTCGACAAAAAATTAGCCAACGGGAAAAAGAAAAGAGCAATAGGAAGAACTTGAATGGGTAGCAATACCGGTCCGTAATCAATGGCCGTTGGGAATGTAAAGGAAGACAAGCAAACAAGACTCAGGATGCGGCAGTACCTTCTTTTGGTTTGGGTTGGGTTAAACTGCCCCTGAATCCCGTCTAGTCAGCAGTGGAGAGCAAACAGAAGCAAACAGGCAAAAAGGCATGACCAGGACCATGACCTGACCTCCAACTCTGGGGGCTCCACCATACCTCTTCCGGACTAGCCCCTCGGTGTCGGATTAACATGCGGATCAGCTCTCTTATCGCCCGTTTGGGTGGAAAAGTCATTTTTTTGGAGGTCCAGATTTAAAGGTGATTGTTTGACTGACTGCACGCTGGGGTACACGGGCTGGCGACAATGAAGACAGATTTCAAGGTCAGTTATCTTTAGCTATAGCTCCTGTTGTTTATTTATTCGGAATTCCAACTCAAAGTAAAGCCTTCTGACAATGCTTTAGTTTTCCAACCTACTGGGTACGGTCTATCGCAAAGGAAATCTTCTTTTCACTCCCGATGGCACCTGTCTGCTTTCCCCCGTAGGAAACCGGGTGACGGTCTTCGACCTTGTTCAGTATGTACTTATATGCATCTCTGCAAGTACCAATTGACAGTTATCACTAATGCGACACCGCGTGAAGCAATACATCATACACTCTCCCATTTGCGCACCGCACGAACATCGACCGTTTAGATCTGACGCCCCAAGGCAACCTCCTACTGTCCGTTGACGAAAATGGGCGCGCAATCTTGACGAACTTCAAGCGCCGGATTGTTATCCACCACTTCTCTTTTAAGGGCCGTGTCTCCTCCCTCAAGTTCTCCCCATCCGGCCGATTCTTTGCTGTAGGAGTGGGGCGACGACTGCAGTTTTGGCATACCCCTTCAACGCCAGGTGCGGACAATAATGGAGAGCTCGAGTTCGCACCTTTCGTCCTACACCGAGACCTTGCTGGTCATTTTGACGTCATTCAGCATTTGGAATGGTCTCACGATTCGCGTTTCATTCTCACTGCTTCCAAGGATTTAACAGCACGGGTATGGAGTTTGGATCCAGAGGAGGGCTTTGAACCAACCACATTGGCAGGGCACCGGCAAGGCGTGAAGGCGGCATTCTTTTCTGCTGATCAAGAATCTGTAAGTCTTCTTGATTGTGCGTCTGGATATTACTGACTTCCTTGTAGATCTATACCGTTAGTCAAGATGGAGCTTTATTCAGGTGGGAATATGTGACAAAGAAAGACCCCGATACCATGGAGGATGTTGCCGAGGCCCGCTGGAGGATTGTGAAAAAGGACTTCTTCATGCAAAATGATGCCAAGGTCAATTGCACTGCATTCCATGCCCCCACTAATCTTCTGGTGGTGGGCTTTTCGAACGGACTTTTTGGGCTCTACGACTTACCAGAGTTCAACATGATACACCTTCTGAGGTATAATAGGCTTCCCAAACTATATAAAGTGCTTATTGCTAACCGAGAGCAGCGTCTCCCAGAGCAACATCGACTATGTGACGGTAAACAAATCTGGCGAGTGGCTGGCTTTTGGCTCCTCTAAGCATGGCCAACTGCTTGTATGGGAATGGCAGTCCGAGTCGTACATTTTGAAACAACAGGGTCATCTCGAGTCTATGGGCTCCCTAGTTTACTCCCCCGACGGCCAGAAGATCGTCACTACTTCGGACGATGGAAAGGTCAAGGTCTGGGACGTCAAGTCGGGCTTCTGTATCGTGACATTTACTGAACACAGCAGCGGAGTTACTGCTTGCCAGTTCGCCAAGAAAGGAAGTGTCTTGTTCACAGCTTCGTTGGATGGTTCAGTGAGAGCGTGGGACCTCATCCGTTATCGCAATTTCCGAACCTTCACCGCGCCGTCTCGATTGTCATTTTCTTCGCTTGCTGTCGATCCAAGTGGCGAAGTGGTTTGTGCCGGATCTCCAGATTCGTTCGATATTCATATATGGTCTGTCCAGACCGGACAACTGCTTGATCAACTCAGTGGCCATGAAGGCCCCGTTTCCGCTCTTGCTTTTGCTGCAGACGGCAACCACCTTGTCAGTGGTAGCTGGGATCGTACAGTTCGTGTATGGAGCATTTTCGGCCGAACACAGACCAGCGAGCCGTTGCAACTTGTGTCTGATGTTCTCAGCGTTGCTTTTAGGCCAGATGGCAAACAGGTGGCTGCATCATCGCTCGATGGCCAGTTGACTTTCTGGTCTGTGGCTGATGCAGTACAAGAAAGCGGAATTGATGGCCGTCGTGACGTCTCAGGAGGCCGCAAGATAACTGATCGCCAAACCGCTGCAAACGCCGCAGGAACTAAGTTCTTCAACTGTATTACATACAGCGCTGATGGAAGCTGTATCCTCGCGGGAGGCAACAGCAAGTACATTTGCCTGTATGACGTGAGGACGGGCTCGTTGGTGAAGAAGTACACAGTTTCCGTCAACACCTCGCTTGATGGTACCCAGGAGATCTTGAACAGTCGCGACTTGACAGAAGCTGGTCCCCGAGACCTGATCGATGAGACAGGCGAGGCATCGGATCGCGAAGACCGTATTGATCGCTCCCTCCCTGGCGCCAAGCGTGGAGACGCTGGAGCTCGTACCACTCGGCCGGAAGTACGTGTCACTTGCGTTAATTTCTCCCCAACTGGACGTGCATTTTGTGCGGCGTCTACGGAGGGTCTTCTCATATATAGCCTGGATACAGAATATGTTTTCGATCCCTTTGATCTTGACATTTCGATCACCCCGGCTAGCATTATGGAGACTCTTGAGAATGCCAAACAGGCATATACAACAGGCACGAGCGATAATGATGACACTTTCCTGAAGGCGATGGTTATGGCGTTCCGGCTGAATGTGTCGAAGTATATCCGCCTAGTTCACGAAGCAGTCCCGCCACCCGAAATCTCTCATGTCGTTCGTGCCGTGCCAACAGTCTACCTTCCTCGTCTGCTGCGTTATGTTGCTCACGCTGCTGAGGAAACCCCACACCTGGAGTTCAACTTGCTGTGGATTGAATCTCTCATGAGCAGCCATGGCCGATATTTTAAGGAAAATTCCGGTACTTTTGCGCCAGAGCTTCGCGCTGTTCAGCGTGCCATTGACGACATCCGGGAGAACCTTAAGAGAATGACGGAGAAGAACCTGTACGATCTGAACTATCTACTCTCGAAACCCGTTCTTGCGGGCAAGAAGACGACCAACACTCTAACCTTGGCGGATGTTGAAACGGATGACACGACAGCAAATGATGGGAACATGGCTGGCACCGCAGGTGAGGAAGAGGAATGGATTGGGCTTGAGTGATTGCGGGTCATCTTCCTTTGGTTACACACTTGTTCTTCTGATCCAACATTCTTCTATCCTTCGCATTTGCGTCTGGCGTTCGATACTGGTATACCTGGAAGATAAAAGGGGACAGCAAAAGTTTGGGGGTCGTTTGATGCTTGTATTTGGATAGCATGATGTACATACGTCTAGACACGTCTTTATATGAATAATCGAAATCTTGCAAGACAGCAACAACCATGTTCTGCCCTGTGTAGTTTAAGAACAATGGATCACTGTCTACAGACTTTTAAGAATGTAGCAAGGGTATAAGACTAGTATCTATACACTGTAAGCAGGCAACGATGGAAGCTCATGGTATCAGGTGTGCTTGTGTAACAAACATCTCTACACAAATACCCATATATGGCCGTTTGTATTGATACTCACTGGAACGCAATGCTGTTGTTTTTCACAACACCGCTTCAATCGCCATGGCGCCCAACATATTGACCTGTCTGTTACTCAATTTGTCTCTCTCTTTTCTTCCAACCTTGTGTTTGACTGTGTTCATGAAAGGACCAATCTTCTCTGCGCATCTACATCCATATCTTCAGTCTCATAGCTCCTGATTCATCCCAAGGCTCCTTAGTTAACCATAATGGATTACATGGACTATTTGAAAGAAATGGGGCTCGTATGGCACTGCGTCTCTATCTTTGTGGGCCTCCTTGCCTTTTATTTTATCAAGGAGCGCTCTACTGCAAACGCGAGCCAGCCCAGCCTGCCTACGGTCACGCACTTCAGGCTTCTGCCTCCATTTCTCAACCGCATCCTTTATGTCGTTAAGGCGCCTTTTCTGATCTACTCTGGATACAAAAAGGTATGTTTTCATCTGTGTTGAAAGGCTCGTCGGTGCTGATTATATTTTAGTACAAGTCCAAGCCCTTCCGGATTCTCAAACTGGATGGAGACCTAGTCATCCTACCTCAGCGGTATCTTGAGGAACTTGGAGATGTTCATTCACGTCAGGCAAGCCTTGTCGGTGCTAAGTACAAGGTAAGCACATCCACCCGTTACTGGGCAGATAAGATGTATCCAGCTAACCAGGTGCTATCCAGAATATTCTGGGAGGATGTACCAACATACTCATAAACAGCGAGTTGCCGGCGCGCACCGTTTCGGGGAGGTTGAATCCGGTTTTAGGTATGTAGGAAGAGGGCTGAAATACGTGCAATATATGACTGCATCACATATCTCATTAGATACCGAGCATCAGCGCTGACATCCAGATCATAGACCGTCAAATCCCTCGTCTACTCTTTGAACTCCACCATGCCTTCTCGGCTGTAGTCCCTTATTGCGAAGGCAAGTATGTGTCCGTCAACTTGTACAATATGATCCTCAAGCTCGTTACACACTCGACATCCCGCATCATCATCGGCCAGAGGCTCTGCAGAAGCGAGCAATGGATCAACACTATGACCAATTGTACATACGAGGTGTGCATTACCGTCAAAAAACTACAGCTTGTTCCAAGGCTCCTCCGTCGCCTGATCGCTCCGTTCCTTCCAAGTGTCCGGAGACTAGAAATGCAACTCCGATGGATCGCAGAACAACTTATTGTGCCTATTATCCAGCACCGCAGGGGACGTGAGCTCAATGAACCGTCCTACAAGAAACAAGATGACTTCCTGCAATGGATGATGGATCTGGCGGACAATGACTCCGACAGAGACCCCATGAACTTGGCATATGGACTAATGATCACCATG